CGAGTTCTTCCACGTATTTGTGCTTGTCAGCTCTAATGCTCTTCTTCACTTGCTTGTTTACTTCTATGTACTCAGCTTGTGCTTGGACTTTCTCTGCTCGTGTTCGGCTGTTGTTAATTGTTATCTTCTTGTTCTTTCTTTCTTTGATCCTGTTTAGTGTTTCTGTAGAGATCCATTCCTTGTGATGATGCTTCTTGAGGCCTAGAACCTTTTGACACGTTGAAGTTAATGCTTCTTTGATACCTTTCCAGTTATCCTCCATAGTAGTTTCTTCTTCCTTCAGTAGATCCTGTAGGGCTTGGAACCTGTTGTTGAGAGCTATCTTGAATTCATTGCGTTTGTCAGTATCTCGAAGGAAGGCTGTATTGAACCTTTGTGGTGCTGTTTGTCCAGTTGTCCAGTTCTTCTTTAGCTTCAGTTTCAGTTTGGCCACAACCAGGTGATGATCTGAAGCTATGTCCGCTCCTCTCCTGGTTTTCACATCTTCCATTGTCCTTCGGAATTTTTTATCGATGCAAACATGATCTATCTGGTTCTCTGTGGTGTGGTCCGGTGAGATCCATATAGTTTTGTGCATACGTTTGTGTGGAAATATTGTGCCTCCTATGACCAATTTGTTGAATACACACAGATTTGCAAATCTTTCCACATTTTCGTTTCTCTCTCCCAGTCCATGCAGTCCCATGATATCTTCATATCCGGTGTTGTTTATTCCGACTTTGGCGTTTGGGTCTCCCGTCAGAATGATGAGGTCCTTCCTTGAGCAGTTCTCTATGATTGATTGCAGCCTCTCATAGAATTGATCTTTAACATCGTCGTTGCTATCATTGGTGGGTGCATAACATTGGACAATGTTAATTGTGATCCCCTCCTACTTTGTTTTGAATGATGCTTTGATGATTCTGGATCCGTGAGATTCCCATCCTACAAGTGCAATTCGTGCTATTTTGGACAGCATTAAAGCAACTCTCGGAGTGTGTGGAGCATTGTCCTCTTTGTGACCGGAGTATAGCAGCACCTTTCCCGTATTTAGCCTTTGTTGTCCAGCTTGGGTCCAATGGGTTTCGCTGATTCCCAGTACTGCCAAGTTGTATCTCCTCATTTCCTTTGCTATTTGACTGGTCTTCCCGGTCTTCCACATTGTCCGGACGTTCCATAAACCTGTAAAAATTGTTGCTGCGGTTGTTAGAATCACTGGAAACCAGTTAATTTTGAAGCCATATAACCACTTTTTGATCACTTATCCGTATGTATGTGTGTCTTAACAGAAACGTGTCAAATGATTTGTACAATAGACTTTGAGATAATGCTTCATGGTGTGTACATGTCTTTGTGTAAACATGAGCTTAGTGTATTAAATAACAACCGATTTGGAGGTGTGTTACGTTAAAACAGATACCAAGCATAGAAACTGATTGTTAAAAGATGCTTGACAATATTTCTTCATTATTCACACTAAAACGACTTGAGCGACAAAAATCCATTTCTTTCACAGTTCGTCAGTGATAAGTAACACAACAGTTTAAATAATGATGCTTTTCTTCAGAGTTTTCCTGTTATATTGTCAGTAATTGAATGAAAGTCATTTACATTTAGGTTTATATAATCGCGATCAGGAAAGTAAGTGATACACATAGAAACTTCAATGGAGAATTTCATTCTTATAAAAACCAATTCAGGCGAATATTTCTAACAGTGTTAAATACAGGCGGTGAAGGAATCTATTTATTGCAGTGTGAACATGATTAACTGAAATGATCTGATATGGACTAAGCTAATCCTTGAGTTGCATCTTATAAGATGTTTATTTCTGCAAAAGGAAAGAACGTATGTAAATACTGTTGCTGAGAAACGTGGGGTATTCAACTCCTTATCATTCTATTTAATTTTTTTAAAATACAGATCCAAATGGATATGAAGGGGGTAAGATGCCTTCGGTTTACTACCATAATTGTTATTATTGGAGTTACTTTCGTCCTTATAAACGTCGATCAGAAGAGTTTCTACTAGCCTTATTTGTATTAATGAGTAAATTCACGACCTCCATCCAAAGATGAAAATGTTTTAACAAAAGCAAAAATGTTTTATGCAAATTAATTGAAATCATGTTTGAAAATTGAATCTTAATTTTACTACGAATTGCAAATTTAATTACAAGCGCGTTCTCACGAAGACTGAAGGTCATGGGTTTAAGCTGACTTGAGGGATCGTGAACTGAAACAGCTCCTAACATCAGACCTTCTACTTACACACTAGGATCCAAATCTTCCAATTATATTCTCAGCAGATGTGTCAAACTATGGAATCGGAGCAGTAATTTCACATATCTACCCTGACGGGTCTGCGAAGGCAATCGCCCACGCTGCACGACTGCTGACTATGACAGAAACGAACTACAGTCAGATACAGAAAGAAGCCCTCTCCATTATATTCTCTGCAAAAATGTCCCCAGAATGTTGTTTAGCAGATAGCTCACCTTACTAATAGACCATAAACTACTACTGACAGTTTTTAGATTCAAGAAACTTATCATTGTTTACGCAGAAAACCGTCTACAGCGATGGGTTACTACATTGTTGGGCTATAATTTCTAGATAAAGTATCAACCGACAACGAATTTTGAACCCGAAGATGCCCTCTCAAGACTGATTGATTCACATGCAAAACGAGAGGAGGTGCTTGTAGCTGCCATAGATGTTGATTCTGAGGTTAACATAGTATTAGCGGATGCAGTTTCCGAACTTTCGCTCACATTCGAAGTCATTAAAGAAGCTAGAAAGAAGGATAATGAGTTGAAGGTTGTTCGCTGCTGCATACTCAACTAGTGGCTTTCATCTGGACTTTTGTTTTTTTTCTTGAACCATTTTTCAGCCCCCTTGAGATACGGAACGGGTGACACCGTCCTGCATCATCCTTAAAAACTAAAATATTCTAAAGGGATATAAGATTGCGATTTCTAGAAGCCCTCAACTGCACATGAACCTATTATCGACCGTCAGTTGCACGTCGCAACGCAACTTTCATGAAGCGCGCTAACTGTGATACTGACTAAAACCATCCTACATTCATATCTTATAAATTATCGACCCAGCTGAGTAATTTACTACAGTTGGAATTTGTATAATTTGTAACAATTTGATCTTGCCTGTAAACTGGCATGCCTCATGTAACAAAATGTTATTTGAGAATAAATTATTATTATTATTACATGGAGAGCTCTTACAATATCTTCGTCGACGAGATTCTTTGACAGTTGTCGATTCGTACATCATGTTTGGCCACCGTATCGTTTTCCCCAGAAATCTTTGACATCAAGCTGTTCCGCAGCGGGCACCCGGAAATAAGTAAAATGAAATCACTAGGTCGGAGCTATGCGTACTGGTCGTCAATGGAATATGGTATATATATATATATATATATATATATATATGTGTCGCAATTGTTGGTCCTGTTTAGAGGCTGCAAATAATTCAACGAAAGCTGAACCACAACCATGGCCAGAACCGGAAGGGCCTTGGCAACGAATACACGCTGATTTTGCCGGACCAATACAAGGCAGAATTTACTTAGTTGTTGTCGATGCTTTCACAAAATGGCTAGAAGTATATGACATGCCGAAAATGACATCAGAGAGTACAATAAGAGAATTGTCAGGATTGTTTGCTTGTTTTGTGGTTCTAGAGATCTTAGTGACTAACAACGGCACTCATTTTATGTCATCCGCTTTTAAACGCTTTTGTAGTGAAAATGGCATATCGCATCACCAATCTCTTCCGTACCATCATCAGTCGAATGGCCAAGCAGAAAGATTCGTGGATATGATGAAAAGAGCTCTGGTCAAAGGGGAAGGTGAGGGATTCTGAGAAAAATTGATCAGTATGTTTCCAATGTGTTACAGAGCTACCCCTAATCTGGCAGCACCAGAAGGAAAGTCACCAGCCGAGTGCATGTTCGAAAGGAAAATCAGGACAATCTTTAACAGTATGAATGAGTATCGTACGGTCACTCGTAGCTTTCAGATGGATGAAATGGTACTTGTTAAATAGTACCAAGGTAATAGAAAGTGAGAACCAGGTATCATAGAACGTTAGATGGGAAATGTACCGTCCCTAGTCCGGAGAAATGTCGGAACATGTATAAGACACATAAATCAAATTCGAAGGGACGGCAGAACATTGGTCCCACAGAGCCGACTCTTGTTTCGATTGCTCGTGGATTCATCTCAAAAAGCCCTCAGGAGCGCGAATGTAGAAGAGATAAAAGACGCAAGGGAGAAACCGTACAACCCTCAAGGGAGATGGACTGCAAGATGAATACGGTGACCAAGTATCACGTGGATCCGAGGAAAAAGTATTACACAACAAACTTTAAAGGAGGAAGGCGTGAGAACGGTCTACGGGTGAATTCGGGGAAGCCTTAAGAATCTCAGAAAAAGCTGAAGTTATTAAACACAATCATCTTTTGGAAGAATACTCTAGAATCTCTACATGTAGCTTCCCGACTGAACAATGCTAATAACCCCTTGTGTGCGGATTGGATAGCTATAATGATGATTTAGTTTCTACTAAGAATTATAAATACCTGAGAGTTTTGTACTATAATTTGGCAATGTCTGGAATAACATTCCTTTTACTAGTCTTCTGTCTTCTCATTGCGACTTGTAAGGGTTCTAGCATTCAATGCTCAAGATATACGCGGCATATCAAGAATATAAGCATCTAGATATAACATACAGCATCATTCGAAGCATGATATTATTTTGTGTTCCAACTTAAAGATTGAGTCCTCACTTATTCGTTCTTTGCATAGTTACTTTCTGTTATCTCTATCGATAAAACATTCGTAAAAATTGTAATCTGTGACTCTAATCACATATGTAGTTTTGCCATCATCCGTATTACCAAAAATCTCTAGTACATTAAGGTCCATATAGGTTGATGTGCATTTTCAAGCAAAGTCAGCTGCAACGTAGGACCAGGCACATCTATGCATCGGTCCAAGTTGCCATACCGCATTAGCACAACAAGGTGAACGCCGGATTCATAGACGTAGTTAATTCAGTGGTGGTAATATATAGAAGAAAGAGTGTGTATAAGGAGATAGTACATGAAGATAGAATTAGTTCGTAGAAAGAAAGATTTGAAGTGATTTTAATCTCTTAGTTTAAAGGAAGACAGAGAGTGTATACATCTACTTCAGGAGGGAGGGTGGCGTTACTGACCAGCAAACATGATGGCGGGGAGATAACTTCAATCCACCCATGTCTGTAGGGCAGAACATTTTGTTAAATTACGGCTCCTTACGGTCTGGTGGAATGTCACGAACTAGTGGTATTGATGATGATTTATCATGCAAAATACCTCATTAAATCGTGTTTAGAATGTTAAATTGGTTTAACTTCTTGCCCAGTAATCCTATTACAAGCAAACTAGACAATCCGATAAATAAAAATAAAAAAAGACGAAGCCTACTCAAGACCCTATAAAATCTTAAAAAGGCTCCAATAGCGTCGACAAAAAAGGGAGACAGTCATTTGTGTATCATAACACTGCTTTTAGCACTATAATTTACAACTACCTATTCTCATACTCTGGATGTGCACGATCAGAACCGAAAATGCAAACCTATATGAAACGTATGCATGATGCTGGCGAATATCCCATTTCATTTAGTCATCGAACAGGTCTACCAGGTGTTCGACGTTTATCTCATCCAAGTTTCAATGGAACGACTTGTAGCAACGGAGTATATAATATAGATAATACGGCATCAAAACAGCATCAAAGCAGTCGTTCTCAACAGTACCGAAAACTAAAGACAGAAGTTAATTCCAACGTTATACTCGGTCGATCGCGTATTCAAGGATTGGGTTTATTTGCTGCACGGGATTTGGAACAACAAACCATGGTAATTGAATACGTAGGAGAGTTAATCCGCTTAGAAATAGCCAATAAAAGAGAAAAGAACTATGAAGCTCATAATAGAGGCATATATATGTTTCGTCTTGATGATGATACAGTAATCGATGCGACTGTTTGTGGAGGACTCGCCCGATATATTAACCATTCCTGCCAACCAAACTGCCTCGCCGAGTTCGTCAACTTCGGTGGTCATTCACATATTGTGATAATTACTAACAGACGGATAAAAAAGGGTGAAGAGTTATGTTATGACTACAATTTTGACTTCGAAGATAGAAGCGACAAAATTCCTTGCCTTTGCAGAGCTCCAAACTGTCGAAAATGGATGAACTAGTAGCTTTGTAAATCTTTGTTTGCAATACTTTTTGTGAGACAATTGTTGTAGATAGGTATGCTCCGATTCCCTAGATTATTATTCAACCCAGTCTAGTGCTTCTCAATAACCATCCAGTATAGTTTATAGTGCCTTTACATACTTCACTTGGATTTGTACATTTCATGCCACTTAGTATTCTGTATTTCATTCCTAATGTATGTTATGTACAGCTTTTACTTATTTGTTATGTTTTTAATTTCTCTCAGTTATGTTTGAGATATAATGGTATTTTTTATGTATATTGTCAACTAATGTGCATAGTTCTAACGCATTACGAGTGTACAGTGATTTCGTGTTCCATATCAACTTTGTCCCTATGTATTATACTTATTTGTACAGACTAATTATGTACCTTATTCATTTCCTTCACATTCCCTAATGTTGTATATATGTTTGATCCAACTAATTGTCCTTTCTAGTTTTGTTTGAAAAAAATGAGTATTAATTGCAGCCAATTATTTTGGTTTATTACACATTTGAGTATCATTGTGGCTTCATTTTTCTTAGCAATAATAGTGATTTCAAGAAATAATTCAGATGTACCTAATTTCTATGCTTCAGCTAAGTAAAACTTTTTACTAAAGTGAACAAACCACGCACTCACTGTAACTGTACTTGTACACGCATGCATTTGAATAATAAAAATTGTTTTCTTTGCGAATGGTTCTCAAGGTGTAACCACTTAAATGTCTTCGTCTATTTTCACTTTGACTATTATACCATTGTGAATTGATAATTCTTCAGTTGTCGGATAAATTAATGTCGCAACTACTTGTATTCAAAATCACAATAGTCAGCCAGTTGCATTTAACATTTATGAATGTCATAGTTCTTCCAGGTTGCTACAAATTAGATGTACGATTTTATTAGTTAAAGTGTTCGACTTTCAACTAATAAACATCACGTTCGAGCTTCCCACCAATTCTCTCATATGACCTAATTGTAACCACATAAAACATGTGGCTCAGAGCCAAGCCTAGTCTTCGTTTCATGGCATTCGTTAATTTGCATAACGATCTTGCCTGTAATATCGTTCATAAATTCGAGTACTGTATTATGGTCCAGTAAACCTCAGTCGCTTGATGCTAGCCTATGTACTGAACACTTTCTCGAAACTTATTTTTTATTATTATTCAATGCTCATTAACACTACCTCAGTTTGATCAATCATATAGTATCATTACACCTCACTCAGCGATTCACTAATGTTTAGTGAATACTAAAGTACTCATCTACACCAGACTGAGTGCTGTCAGTCAGTCAGCTGCGACGTAGGAACAGGCACATATATGCATCGGTTCAAGTTGCCATACCGCATCAGCACAAGATAAACACCGGATTCATAGAACTAGTTAATCCAGTGGTGGTAATATATAGAAGATTGCATATAAGGAGATAGTACAGGAAGAAAGAATTAGTTCGTAGAAAGAAAGATATGAAGCAATTTTAATCTCATAGTTTGAGGGAAGACAGAATGTATACACCTACTTCATTATGATTGATTCTAAGCCATGTCACAGAGTCTCCAACCATCGGTTACGGTAGTCACGCGGACCCCAACCAGGCAGTCTGCGTCAACCAACATGGCTCAGACCAGAAGTTAGTGACTTCTTGGACTGGTGCCGCGTTTTGGTTTGGCCGTCCCTAACTTTCTTCCAATTATCCCTAACACCGGTTAGCATTGCGCGTCGTGGTAATCGGTGTTCAGGCATACGCAGCACGTGGCCCAACCATCTCAGTCGATGAAGATTCATAACATCATCAACTGATTTACCATCATTCCCTAATACACTGCGTCTAACCTCACTATTACCTACCCGGTGATCCCAGCAGATACCCGCAATATTTCTAAGGCATCTGTGGTCAAACACTAGTAACTTACGAGTATCTTCTACTCATAAAGGCCATGTTTCGCAGCCGTATAGTAGGACGGAACGAACTGCCGCGCAGTATATTCGTCCGTTAATTGATAGACGGATATCTCGCCTTCGCCATAGATGACGTAAGTTGGCAAAGGCCAAGCGAGCTTTTCGAATCCGTACTGAGATTTCGTCAGACACCAACCCATTAGGGTTGATCAGACTTCCAAGATAAGTGAAGTTGTCAACGCGTTCGACTACTTCATTCCCTATCCTTAGTTCAGGTGTTGACGCAGACCAGTCCTGAAGCAACAACTTGCATTTAGAGGGAGAGAAGTGCATCCCAAACATTCTGGCATTGTTACTCAGTGCTACCAGGAGACTGCATATTATCAGCGTCTTCACCAAACAGGACTATGTCATCTGCGTATTCTAAGTCGATAAGTGGACCCCCTGGTAGGAGGTCGATGCCCGAGAATTCAGTCTATGAGAGCGTTATTTCCATCAGTAGATCTATGATGAAGTTGAACAAAAATGGAGAAAGTGGACAGCCTTGGCGGACGCCACTTGAGGTCGCGAAAGCAGATGACAGTTCGCCATAAGCTCTGACTCGACTAGTAGTGTTGGAGTAAAGAGCTTTCACAAGGTTTATGTACTTCTGAGGTACGCCTTTCAATGACAGACACTGCCACAGAACCTCTCGGTCGACAGAGTCAAACGCTGCTTTTAAATCAAGGAAGATCACTATTTTCGGACGCCGATAAGTATGTCTGTGTTCTAGAACCTGACGAATGGTGAATATGTGGTCGATGCATCCACGACCAGTTCACGAGTCTTAGTTAGGCATCCCATAATTATCGAGGCTAGTATTTTAGATACTATATTAGTTAAACTAATCCCTCTATGGTTGTCACAGGATGATTTTGACCCTTTCTTATCCATTGGGAAGATAAGTGATTGTGACCGTTAGATGGGATAACGTCTAACTCCCAGATTTTAGCTAAAATATTAGTCAACCTAATCGCTAAAACTGGACCACCATCCTTAAAGTCCTCTGGGGCCAATCCGTCTAGACCAGCTGCCCTTCCTCATTTCAGATTAGCTATAGCCTTTTGAACTTCAGCTAGAGTTGGAGGACCTACTTCAATGTTCCATTCATACTGTCTGGGAATAGAGGGTAGTTGTAGAGTAGATGAAGGCCAACTGAACTGCTCCTTAAAATGTTCCGCCCATCGTTCTAAACGTCTGGACTGGGAGCAGATGAGAGTGTCGTCTTTTTCCGAAATAGTCTGACTTACACTTGATTTATTAATTCCAGTTTCTTTTATTAGCCTGTAGAGTTGTCTTGTGTTCCCTATAGCCCCCGCCTTTTCCATCTCTTTTGCTTTCGTTGCCCACGACTGCTCACGATCGTTCCTTAGACTTTTGCTTAATCTAGATCTGATTTCTTTACGCTCTTCATCGTGTTCAGAACCTGATGGGATGAGTTTACGAGAATCTATCAGTGTAATATGCCTTGAAGAAATCCATTGGTTCTTTGTAACCCTGTGGTTTAAATCACTAGTAGATGTCACTGCTGAGAGTGCTGTGATACAATTGATGTCTATTGTACTGGCTGAAGTCTCAAAGATAAGGTCATATATTTCTCCAAATATCCGTATTATCCGGATATCTTGTATTCATGATGAAGTAGTAGGAAACAAGAAAGGGGTTAGATGTTAACTTGATAAGTCCAAATTGTATTTGTGACATTTGTATGGTTGACACCGGCAGCCTATAGTATGGGAGAGTACTTTTTGCGGGACGTTATTAATAAACTAAATCCGCGTTGTATTAGTTTCTTCTAGACTATCCCTGGTTAAGTGTTAAGCTATTTTCACTACCGACATTCTCATCCTCTCATTTTAAGTAGTCAACATCATTGGAGATGTTGGTTTGCCGTTTCCAGTATGATTTCATTTATAGGTTTTAATTTTATTAGTTTGTCATAAAACCTAACTGAGATGGTGGAGATTTGTAGCTCAGATGGATGATTTTGATGGTTTTGTCCTCTGAGCTGGATGGTTTGATCGTTGAGCTTTCATCGTTTTTCTGGACGACATCAGCACAAACTTCAGGTAGATCAAGATCAAGGTCCATAGGACAAGCTGTGAGCTATATATGGGGCAAATTCGAACACTTCTATCTGAAGTTCGAGCTGATTATGTTCAGAATAACGATGAAAGCTCCACGAACAAACCATCCAGTTTAGAGAACAAAACCCCACTAAAAACTTTTAACTGACTTGTCAGGTATGATAGGACTTCAAGGATTTACTGATTACTATTCAACCAGTGGTCCCACCATGAAAACTAGTGTGGCGACATCCATTAGTTTTCCTCTAGTATCCAGATCGTAAAGGTGTAGCGAAAAAGCATAGGTTCTTAACTTCATCTGGTGTTACACATAGTGTTGGTCCCAATTCTGATTTTGTCTTTAATTCGGTTATACCTGTCCTATCAGGGCTTTTGCAACTCCTTACGTTAATGTGATTATTATAATGCAAGGTACCTGAGTATTTTTATTTACGAAACTGTCACAATTGTGATATTTTATTTACTCGAATTTAACTAGCAAGTACAAGTCGATAGTAAATGTATGATCAGTAGAAAATCATAAATTAGTACCATATGTCCGTTTCTTATGACTCAGAGAACTGAATACTTAGTTGTTCAAATAGGAGAGTCTCACTAAAGTCGGAAATGAAGGTTATTGTTTGGTTTTTAAGTCAACACCCATATGCCACACCTTGTTTGTGAAATATAACTGACGAATGTTATAATATTCGATAGGACAAGAGCATTGCGGTGTAGATTTAAAAACCCTTAAATATAGTCTTAATGGTCCTGAAGTCTTGATTAGATGCTAGATGATTCCAAGTCATTGAATCCTAGAAGTTCTAGCGACCAAGTTAGTTTCATTTTTAGAGCTTGTATCATTCATAAAGTGACCTAGTCAGCAGTCAATCAAAATGAGAGGAGTAAGTCGATTATCACTTATGTGTAACTAGCAACATTGGGTCATTAACTTCGGAGATAAGTTATCATGATCACTTGCTATAGCATAATTTAGATTTATTATATTAGGAGATTGGTGTTAAAGTGATGTTCGAGCTGTCGAAATAGTAAGAAACATGCCACAGTATTTGGGCTATCTATCAACATCTTAATGCTTCAGTTAATTTCCTTACGTAATTAGTCAACCTCCAGCTGATTTTGATCAAGTGCTCCGCATAGTTTTAC